GGTTCAAGGATTTACACTCCATCCATATCAGACCCGGTGTCAGTGTTTTCTCAACCCAGGTTTTCCCTGCTCCTTCCTTTGAAACGTCACAATATCTTGGAAACGATCGGCAGTCACTTTTAACAATCCACTCTATTTCTCAAACAAAGAGGAGGAAATCACAGGTTCTTTGCATCTGCGCCGCATTTGATTGTAGTGGAGCAGGCAGAGCTGACGAAAACAGATGTTTTAAGAGTCCACTGTGGGAATGTCGCCTTGGCGAAGACGGGCTGTGTTCAGGACGCGGGGAAGGACTGGACGCAGCCATTGTGAGGCCGAAAAGAAAAACAACACATCCGACATCCGGACGAGAAAGAATCACAACACGGCGCCAGACCTTGATCAAACACAGCCCAGAGAATGTCACACCAACATTAACTCAGAGTGAAGGATGTTGTTCTGGGAGGACATGAGGCAGAGGCCACAGAGAAAACACTAAAGTTAAAGAAGGTCTGGTGGAAGTTGCTGCACTGGGGGTGGAAACCAGATCTCGATTTAGATGTGCAGCTCTGTCATTCTCTCGACTGACAGGAAATGGAAATGTCACGTCTAAAAATGATTCAGGTGAGTAGGCTTAAAAAAAACCCCACTGCACTCTGGCCCCCCTTTTAAACAGCAAACTGTTTAAGAAACAAGGAGGCAGAGAGTCTTGTTAAATGAGTCGGTCTCAGACCATGGGAGAGCAAACAGCTTCATGGAGAGCAAGACGCACAGCGGGCAGGTCAGCGAGAAAGTTGTAGGAGAAGTTTGTGGTTGATCCAAAAAGCAAAGTCACAAGCTTTGCACGTCTCGCTGAAAATCTGTTGAATTGGCCGTCTGAAAACGGAGAACGTGTGGGGCGGCTGCAAGCTTTTAAAAACATGTTCGTTTACCTAAATGCATGGGCTGAGAGAAGAGGAGGGAGGAGTTTAATCAGAGAAGCAGCCTGCAGACCCATGGGAAACCTGGAGGAGCTGCAGAAATCCACCGCTATGCAAGAAGGAAGTCATAAGAAGGACTGTGTACCAGAGGACGCAGCAAACAGAAAGATCATATGATCATCTGGAACATGTCTTTTTGACAATAAATCAAAGTTGTCATTATGATCAGAAACGTATCATAACTGATAAACGATGCGATAAAAGCCCACACCTCGTTAAAATCAATTCCCACATCAAAAATGATTCACTATTTTGTGTTGGTCTAGATCCCAGGTGTCAAACCCCAGCCCTGGAGGGCCACTGCCCTGAAACTTTTAGATGTGCCTCTGCTGCACCACACCGGAGTAAAATAATTAGGTCATTAGCAAGGCTCTGGAAAACATATCTGCACAAGAAGGAGGTAATTAAGTCACTTCATTCCAGTGTTTTGTCCCTGTGGCAGCGGCCCTTGAGGACCGGTTGGAGTTTGACACCCCTGGTCTGGACTGAAGATTAAGTTGGTAATGTGCTAGAATATTTCAGTGAAGTACTTTAAGCTGATTTTATAAACCATTAAACATCACTATGTCAGAGACTCTTCCTAAATCACATGATCGGCATGGCTGATTTTGAGGAATGAGAAGGACTGAAAAGCTTCCAGAGATACGACAGATTATCCGACATGCATACGCTGTCATTTGCAGCAGGCTCTCTAAGTTCCCCCGCTTCCTCTTGATGGAACCGGCACATTCCTCTAAAGTTGAGATGCACTTTGCCGGTGAGCAGGAAGCCTGTTCTGATAACGGCATTTTGTAAACAACGGGGTGGGCTTGATTTGAGCCCTGGCTTGTCCCCAGCTGCTGAAACGATTCCAGATTCACTTGAAGGGTGTGGGCTTTCCTCCAGCACTCCAAAGGAAACAAAGGGAGCCTGTCTGGCCAAAAGAGTGGCACGCCTGAGCCAAGAGCCCAAACCAAATGCTTCCCAAGGTTTTACACATATTAAATCACAGCAGGAGAAGCTTTAGAAATGGATTACAATTCAGGTTTATGTGAAGAGCAGGAGGCCCTTTAGCAGCTTGAGTTCTGGTGCGTGAAGAAATAACTTAATGTACGGTTTTTATTTTTCATTGCGATACAAAGTATATCTGTAAATATTTGGCAGTGCTGTCAAGATTTGAGTTTTTGAGGGAAACAAAAAGCATACTGTTGTCTACCAACCAATGTGTATTTCTACAGGTTTTGTGTATGACAATAAGTTATTTGTAGTTGTGTAAATGATGTTATTAACCGTAAAAGAAACGGATTATGCAAGATTTTGTTCATGTATTTGAAGCATAAAAGTAAAGAAACCATTAAACAGCTTCACTGTGCGCACACAGACACACAAGATCTTCAGTGTGGCACAGATTCAAATATTTTATAATTTTGTGAAATGTAAAAGTAGGAATTTATTTTCCAGAATAATAACAGATCAATGCAGTGTGTAAAAAAAAAAAAAAAAAAAAAGACACATACACACAAATACTTTTTCTCAACTTTGTGACCCGACAAAATAAAATGATAAACTTGTAAATGAGCACACAACATGATCCCTTTCAAAATAGTAAGACTAAACGCTGGACAGCTTTAATGATTATAGGAACTAGTTTAATTGCTTGTCTCCTGTGGAGTTTTAAATCATTAGGAATCCCACAAGGCAACCAACTCCCTTCCCGGTCTGCGTCACGTCTGGCCGCTTTCACATGACTTTACTTTTTCCTAGGCTTTTTTTTTTTTCGCCAACGTCCCAATTTGTCATCTAACCTTAGGAACAAAGGCGACGAAGATTGCAAGAGTCATTTGAAAACTCATAACCCAAAAAGAAGATTTTTATTTTTCTATTTGATACCAAAATTTGCAACCATCAGCTTCGAAGTCTCTCTGAGGAAACGGCAAGCAGTTCATGCACAGCCGCTCGCATTGGACTGTTTTTCACAGCATAACAGTGCGCCTCACGTGCGCTGTGTTAGTGCATAGCATTGGAGTTTTTACACAGCATAACAATACCTCACGCTGTATGTTCAGTGCCTGAGGAGGTACAAATTTCAGAGTAGTATGTGTAATCCCAACACGAGACGGAAGAAAAGAGGAGTAATATTCACAGTTACACAACTGCACTGGAAGCTGCTTAAATACTCTGCTTCAGCCAGTGTCGCTCCAATTCTGCTTGGTGCTATGAGAGACAGAGAGAGGGGAAGAAAAAAAAAACAGCCTGGTTATCATCAATATGCATCACACACAATTCACGTTTCATCAGCGCCGCAGACCACAGAGATTTGAGGAGATGCTAATGTGTCCGGCAGTGTTCCTGTTTGGAAGCAGTGTTGATTATATTCCCGCTCTTGGTCCGGTGGGACCTTACCTGCCACAAAATGACTACAGCATTATTTCCATATATTACCTGAGGAAAGCACACAGGCAGAAGTTACTGACTGCCTGTGAGAGCTGCGATCATGAGCTTCCTCTGAAGCGCAGGGGAGGAGAGGGGAGCGAAAAATGATGCATGACATCTTCAACTTTTTACTTTTGTGGAGGTTTCTTTGGGGAAAAAAGCACAGCACAGTGTTCAGGTGATCGCTGACTGACGAGATCAATTTTCAGTGCCTGGCAAAAGTCCATACCGCCTGAAGTTTGTCACATTTCAACCACATTTGAGTATTTTATGACATATAAACACAAAGCAATGTATAACTGGGCAGCACTGCTTACAGGAAAACAATTTCTTTTTTTTTTTATATGTATATTTTTACAAATAAAACTGAAAAGTGTGGCAAGCAGCTGTATTCAAACCTATGCAAACATAACTTTGGTAGGTTTGTAATTGCAGTGACCACAGCTGCAACGTTTGCAGTTGCAGTGTCACAAAATGTGAAAACGTCGAGTGGAATTTAATGCTTGCGGATGGCACTTTTGTTCTAATCTTTCAGAAATGACACAAGCAATAATCATCCTCAACGGTTATCTCTTACAAGACACAGAACCTTAGAAAAGGGTTCATCAGCAGTTCCAAGTTGAAACAATTTGTTTCTCTGTGTTGAGAAACAGAAGTACATTTTTTCTCTTTCGTGAAATATAAAAACACTCTGTAACTCAGAGTAATGGCCTGAATGACAAACAAGGGTGGAGAATATTTTAGCCTGCAGGCAAATTGTTTTAAATAAGGACTTATCGGGGAGCAGGGATGTAAACAAAGCAAGATGCCATCATGTGGCTGGAATACAAAAGAAGCTGATGCTGAAGTGGTTTGAGGGAACTGCCTGTTGAAAAGCAAACATTTACATAAAAACTGGCAACAGAGCTTTAATGTCAAGTGGACCAACGGCCTCTCTATTGCTGCTATAGTTTCACTTGTAGACAGTTCAGGCAGGTTTGCGTTCAGGCACCACATTTCAACAAGTTTCCCCTTAAAATCATCTGGTATAGATATTATCATGACTCACAAATAGAGTGCAACCGTCCAGATACCTTCTGAAAGTCAAACTGTTTCAGAACCGCCACCAAGAACGCATTTTGACACAAAAAGTTTTGCATAATTGTGAATCAGAAGGAAATTCATAAATTGTTTTAAACTATTTTTACAAATGAAATGTTGCATGCATTTGTATGTGCTGCCACACAATTCTCTACTTAAAACGCTCCATGACTTCGTTAACTAACTGCGCGACCTGCACTGGACTGGATTTCAGGCAAATAGGAATAAAAAGCACTCCACACTTTTCAGATATTTGTTCCAATATGTTGGAGGGTATTTTTTTCTTTCTGAGATACTTTTTTTAAGACACAATGACAAAATGCATGCAAAGTTCAAATAAAGCATACACGTGTTTTGATCACAACTTTTTTCGCAGTTACCATATTTGTAAGTCAAGTTCATATAAGTCAATGAACTTGACCTACATGAAAAACTAACACTTTAGCTGCCCAACACAGCCGCTTGGTTCGCTTCTGCCTTGGGCTGGCTTTGCTTTCAAACGTCACCTTTCTGGGGAATAATTAAAAAAAAACATGCAAGAAAAAGACGTTAATCTTCAAATATAAATTTATTCCATGAGCCTTCATACAAACATGATTTTTGTTTTAGATTTTTGTCAAAAAAAAAAAACTGTTAAAAGTGGCAAATCATTGAAGGTGCACAATTATGGCTATGAACAGGAAAGTCCACAGGTAAAGCTGTGAGATGATTGGCTATAAAGCAACACATGAGAATCCTTAACACTGAGAGAAAACAGTGATAAAAGCTACAGGTAGTCTCTCTCTCACTCTGCATCAGTATCCGGCACCTGAGTTTTACGACGACGGGCAACACACACTCTGAGAACTGGGTCTCGGGTCACATAGGAGGGTTCCTCGCAAGTGTGCAAAGATTCAAGGGTCGTTTAAATCTTACTTCTTCTTCCCCTCCTAACAGATAAGGCTGCAAGTAGATCTCATGCAAATTCATCACAGTAACTCAGTGGATCTTGAGGTTGAGGTAATTTAAAGAGAGGAGACAGGGACGTAGGGGAGTGGGGTTTGTGTTATTTTTGACTTGCCAGTGCAAATTGGGGTATTGAAATATTCTTCTCAAGCCTTGAGAGCTTCCTTGCTTTTAAGCACTTGAGAATGGAGCAAAGTGCTGCTCGAGATATCAACGTGTGTGAAGATAAACTTTCCACCTCCTTCCTTCCGCTCATCCCGCGGCAGAGTGACACGGCCGGTCCAGAGCATTATGCACTCTGGACCGGCGCATAACGAGGTAACAGAGCTCTCCGTCGACACCAGCAACACGTCCTCCCGTCCAGCATCTCCTTCGCTAAGTCCAGGACAAAGCCATCAGTTTACAAAGCGCTCCTCTTTGAGGTCGTGCGTGGCGTTCAGATGGTTGGCCAGCTCCTGCATCACGGCGTCTTTGCCAATCTGGTCGTTCCTGCGCTTCTCCATGATCACGTCCTCCAGGCACTGAAACTCCAACACGTGGCTCTTCTTCTCGGAGAAGAGCAGCTTTAACTTGTACGGCTGCTTCCCGATCCGTAACTCCCCCCCGATCTTGAACTCCCGCCTCCCGAAGCGGCACCAGGCCGCGAAGCACTCGGAGTTCCTCCAGGACAGGTCCCTGTCTCTGGTTCCGACGTGATCCATGGCGTTGCGCACGATCACCTCCGGCGGGAGCGCCCGGTGCCGGTACAGGCCGTTCACTATCCTGCCCTTCTTCCCCTGGCTCACGTCGGTCAGAAAGTTGTTCTTGACCTCGGCGCGGTGCAAGTGAACCACCTGGAAGTCGCCGACGTAAACGGCCCAGTGCGGGTACTGGCCGGTGGCCACGAACTCCAGCAGGTCGCCCGGACTGCACTTGGCCAGGAGGCTCTCTGGGGAGACGGACGCGGCTCCGGAGCTCCGCTCGTAGACGCACTCGTCTCGGTAGTAGACGACGCACTCCAGCTCGTCGTCCGGGTCGAATGGCTTCTCTTCGTTGCTCACCTGACGGCTGTCCGGGGGGAAGTGCTCCAGGTTGTCTTCCTGGTCCTGGTCGTCGTCGTCGTTGGAGAAAATGTAGGAGACGCCGATCCGCGTTCCGTCACCGTCCGGGTCGAAGCCGTTCGGGTCCGACGTTGGTACTTCCGCGTAATTGATGTGCGTTAGTTTCTCCACCTGGTTCCCCATAAAGACGAGATGAAACGACACACACACACGCCGGCACGCAGACAGGATCCACCTGTTCTCTGCGCTCACACCTCTGCAGGAGACGGGAGCAGAGTCGGGATTAAATCCAAAACAGAGGCGAGGGGCACCGGCGCTCCATGTCCAGCTGTAAAGCTGCGCTCCCCCGCAAACGATCGCCAACTGTTGAGATCTGCGAGGAAACGGAAGAGAGGAGACATTGAAGGCAAAGTTTAACTCCAGCTCAGTGCACGTCCCCAACAGGTGTGACCTGAATCACCTGTTGGCTCACATTTGTTCCTGAACTCTCCGGCAGAAGGAGGCGACGGAACGGTTTTTGACGGCGTTCCAAGCGCATTGAAACGCTTCTCATGACCCACACCGCTGGAGGTAACGCCAACCTGTTAGATTAGCTCATTTTCTGTCACCTGCGGAAAACTCACCTGTAGTTCAGCAGCTCCGAGTCTCTTCCGCGCTTGCCCGGGGGGAACCAGAAGCGTCAGCTTCTTGTTCTTCCTGTGCGGCGGCTTGTTTGCGCCGAGTGGCTCAGGCTGCTGCACAGACACAGGCTGCCTGTTGTATGAAGCCCAGTGTTTGTTGCAATGAAACTCGCTCAGGATCCACCGACTGCTGGGAGGAGGTGTCATTTAAAGCGACAGGAATCCAGAAAACACTTCGACTCTTGAAAGGAAAAAGAAAAAAGAAAAAATCCTTTTAGGAACGTTCTCTCTGGCGGTTTCCAGTTCCTTTTATTTATTGATTTTTCTATTAGTTTCGTTCATTATGTGTAACCGGATCATTCAGGTGACGCTTGAGCTTGTTATGTCACATGTTCAGTTGAGGAAATGCTTGTTAAGCAGAGCAAAAGAAGCGAAAATTTGGAGTTGAGCCGAAAATATCGCAGGTAAACATAATGGAAGCAAAAACTGAAAAGAAGTGACACTCAGAGAAGCGCTTTGTTTCTTTCAGTTTTTTTTTAAATTGAGTAACAAGCAAAAGGTTAATTCACACAGGGTGAAAAAAGAGTCCAGCAGCTAAAAAAAAAAAGTCCACCTCCATATAAGTCACCTCACTAATCTGAAAGTCCATTGATTTCAGTGGATTCATTTAAAAGTCAAACCTGAAAGTTAAGCGCAGACAAACTGCTACACAGAAGTTCATGGTGGACCTTGAAGCATTGAGACTTATGAATCTCCCCAAAACTCTTACAGAGACTTCGCTTCACAATCTTCCCTGGGCTCCAACAGGATACCTGTTGCTCGTGTCGCACTTTTTCCTTCCACTCAACTTTCCACTGACACGTTGCTCAGCGACTTCATGGAACACTCAGCCTTTCTGCAACTTGACTCTGTGTCACACACTCCTTATGGAGGCCGTCAGCGACTGCCAGCTGCAGAGCACCAGCTCAGCAGTCTTCCCCATAATGGTGAAGGCCATAACATGGTCATAACATAACATCTCTGAATTAAAGATCATTTTTATTAGTGTCGTACAGCTTGATAGCTACTGGCTGCAAGCCAAAGCTATCAATGCTAACAGAACGGATCACTTGAGTTACTGCGGTGTGTTAATGGGTCTTTTGAGGTTTTACTATATAGGTTGAATTCCTGAAATAAAGCAACTTTTTGATGGCTTTCTAATTTAATGCCATCTACATGTAATGGCACACGTGTTAAGCTTATTAAGCTGATGTGTTAAGCTTATTTTAGAAAACACAGCAAAGCCATGTTCTGCTTAAAAACCATCCACCAGCCCATCAACGCGCATGAGATTTTCATCCATTCATGTCAGGAAATATGCTGCAAAGATGCGTGACATTGATCACCATCTCCGGTGATCAATTAGTGAAAGGATCTGCACAAAGCAACAGGTTTGTTTCAACAATTTTTCAGAGATAAAAAAATATATAAATAATTTGACTCATGCATTTCTGGTATGAATCGTTAAACCTTTAGAAACAAGGTCCTTGTAATTGTTTCTTTCTTTGCCCTCTCTTCACATCAGTTCCAGTAAAGTCCATGTAGCACTTCAAGTATCAGTCCAGAGTAAAACCGGTTTTATTCACTTTAGACGGGAAGCCCAGGAGAGTGCTACACATTTATTGGCACTCTTGATGAAGATGTATCAAGAGCATGGAAATAAGTTCACCTTGCGTGTACGTTTTGTCTTTTCATCACCAACAACTGGCTGGCATTAGGATAACATCAAATTAGACCCTGGAAGAAAAGAAAGTCATAGTTTATGTATTTTAACAGCTCCCAGAAACATTGATCAATTTTCTGTTAAAAAGTAGACATAAAACTACATTGATTACAAGTGTCGTTAAACCTACCAATAATTGTGACTTTTGCCCTCCGAATGAATAAATGTTCTTGAATTTAAATGTTGGATTTGTGTAAATCAAACAACTGCAATAAACTGACTTTATCTCAAGGCTTTTCACTGATCTTTACCAGGAATATCATGCATGTGTAGGCTACTGTTACCCTTCATGTCAAAATGCACAAGAATCCGCGCTCCACCTTTAATGTCTGACTGAAACTCTTTTGAACTGACCCAGAGCGTACGCCTGGGTCACATCAGAACTTTGTTTGTTCAAGTCTTATCTGAGCCTCAGTCTCTTCCCAGTCCGTCCAGCTCAATCCCTGCTCCTGCCAATCCTCTTGTGCCAAGACTTAGTGAAAATATGTTCACTTTGAGAGAGCCAAAGGTTCACTCTCTGCAGACCAAGCCAAATACTCACACTTACAGTTGCAACATTTTTCAGCCATGAGCAATTTTTTTTTGGAGGATACATGTGTAAAATCCACGTAAAACACAGCCTTTCCAAGCTGCTTGTGCTATGTACCGATGTTTTTTTTAATGAAGTATTATCCTTCTAAATAGCTTACAAAGGATATCAATGGGTTTCAGCGAGTCAAATTTAAAACTGAAGAATCAAATACAAGGAATGGTTGATTGATCCTGCTGTATTAGGAGTAATTGTGAAGTTTCTGGGATCTGTTTGTGGCTCTTGTTAGCAGCTTTGTAACTTTCAAGTTGCATAAGTCTTTCTTTAACCTTAATCCCCATAATGCCTAGCTTAAAAGTTTTGTTTGTTTTTTTTTGCACATCATGCACCTAGCCTCCTACTGGTGAGCCAGAAATATCATTGAGCCAACTTGTCAATAAATTTGCACTTTCCCATGATAGTTGCAAAAAGCTAGAAAGCTCGCAAGGGTTCATTAGCAGCTAGTTAGCAGTAGCCTCAACCGCTTATAGTCACAGAATGCAATGAAGATATCTGCAGGCGACTCAATTGTTGGCCTGATAGAAAAGGCCTGGAAATAATAATATAATAATAAAAGATTAAAATATATCGGACCTGTGATTAGCGAATTTAAGGGCAACTGACACTATTTTAAATAAATGTAAGACATTTATTTTAGATGACTGGATTAAAAACTTGGTACAAACACAGCGCTGTTAATGGACGATGAATGTTGCACCGATATGAGTTCCCCATTTTCCACAGTAAATGAGAATGAAATGAAAAAGTCAACATCAGCCACAGCTTTCATTGCTGGGTGATTTCTCCTCCGGCAAAGTGCGTTCACTGCCGTGCGATTCGCACCTTGTATGGACAGACCTATTAAAGATCTTCAAGAATGCCTGATGCAAGGGTATTAAGAAGATTAGCTTCACCTAGTTTCATCTCAACGCAGCCTTTGTTTGTTTCTTTGTGGAACAATGGTCCTTCTCAGCATGCATGGAGAAATGTAATCACCTAAGAGCATTTCCCATGGAGGTGGCAGAACAGTTTGTTTATGGTTTCCTCACATTCCTGGTTCAGGATTTCCTTTTGTTCCTGCTGAGAGAAGATAGTGCTTCCCTTTAAAAGGCTGTGTTTTTAGTATTCAGTTGTGATTCTCTTAAAAAGACAGAGGAGCTCATGATAGCTAGCGTCCAAACCTGAGGCTAAGAGTTCAGAATCCATGCTGGACTTTGTTTTCTACACTGATGTTGGGGAAACAGCGCCCTCTCATGGTAAAGTTAATGTACTACGTCAGGTAAAAAGAAAAAAAAAGTTTATTTAGAAAATATATGAAGCTTTCATTTACAAGCAATGAAATTTCAGAACATCAAACATCCGCCAGAAGAAAAAAAGCCCGAAAATATGACCAACAATTCATGCTCTCAAAGCACAGGTTACAGAACTACAAAGCCGAGCATCACGTTTTGTTGCTTTGACGCTTTTGGTTCTGCATTTTCCTCCTCAGCATCTGGTCAGGAATCAGGTCGGACTCTTTGATGTCTCCGTTTCCACAGCCGACCACAGGACACCTGGAGGACACACACCACGTGTTGAGGCGTTCAAGCCGAAAGCAACTTTAACACTCAAGAAGCTCTCTGTATATCGACTTGAGAATTGTTTTTCAACATGTTCTGTTGGATAGCCGAGTGCAAACCTACCATCTTTGTAAAATGGAGGATCATTATAAAGTTTGGATATTTCAGTAACTTTATTCAAGAAATGAAAGTCATAAATTACATTGAGTTGTGTCACAAAGAAGCTTATTTTGAACACCGCTAATAAAACTTTGAGTGTGTTTCATCTAGGAATACTAACAGAAAATTGAGTGGAAGGAAGAAGTGTGGTAGAAAAATGTGCGCAAGCAGAAGAGTGATAACTGAAGCCTGGAGGGGACGGTGAAGCAAAGTCCATTGAGAGTTTCGGGAAAGAAAGGAAGAACAGAGAAAGTTGAACTTTCTCAGCAAAGTAACAGACTGCTGTCCTCCATGTCACTCTGCACTTATGCAGAAAATCATGCAAAAAGAGGTCCAACCAGGTTCCATATGCCAACATTTCTGCATTGAAAATAATTTTATCGTTCATTTACAACATTCAAACTTTGTAATAATCTAGGTTTCGAGCTTACAATAACTACCTTCATCAATCTTTCATCACTTTCTGATAGTCATTCAGATATTTGCTCTTTTCAATATTATTCTTATTCACTGAGATTTCTTTGGGATTTTATCAGAGCTCCACATTTAACTCGACTCCAACAACAAAGCGCTACAATGAGGAATCCGTGTTTTTTGTTGTTGTTTTGTTTTTAAGCAATTAAAGGCAGCCCATGATGAGCTGGTCCCATGCCAGCCTGCCGAGTTGTTTACCAACGCTGAACCTGACTCGACTCTCTAAGCGCCCTCGCAGGGAGAGTGTCTTACCGGCACTTCTTTTTCTGGCTGTGCTTCGTTTGGATCAGACTCAGTATGGCTTCCTCATCGTAGTGGTGGTTGCACTTCTTATTCTTCATTGGGTTCACCATCTCCACCTTGAATGCAGATAAGACACAGCAGGCAGGTTGCTTTGAATAACAAAACGTATTAGAAAATACAAAGAAAAGAAAGAGAGAAAGAAAGAGAGAAAGAAAGCAAGAAAGAAAGAAAGAAACAAGGGAAAGAGAGAAAGAAAGAAAGAAAGAAAGAAAGAAAGAAAGAAAGAAAGAAAGAAAGAAAGAAAGAAACAAGGGAAAGAGAGAAAGAAAAAAGAAGGGAAAGAGAATGAAGGAAAAAACGAAAGAAGGAAAGGAAAAAAAGAAAGAAGGAAAGGAAAACAACAACATTCAGTTGCTGAAACTGGAAAGTGTGAATGATTTCTAATGGGAAGTTCAGAAAGAAAGTGTTAAAGCATCCAGGAAGGATTTACCTGTGTGAGTGGGCAGGTGAAGTTGACCTGGCTCTGGGTGACGGCGATGTCCTCGTCCAGTTCCTCTATCCCCTCTGCGGAATCCTGGTCGGCTAAAGAAAGCACAGCATGCACACAGCGAGTCGATGATGATGAACTGGAACATCAACGGGACGACCGGAAGATACCCAGCGTGCAAAAGAGACATGCTTGGACAGGATTAGCTTTACAGAATGTGCCAGGATGAAGCACT